GTTGTTTCACTTATTTTTTACGGTGGTGAAATTTATCTTTTTGCATAACTCTTTAGAAACACCGACGCAGCTCACACTAGTTTAGCGCTAGTTTAGCGCTAGTTTAGCGCTAGTTTAGCGCTAGTTTAGCGCTAGTTTAGCGCTAGTTTAGCGCTAGTTTAGCGCTAGTTTACCGCTAGTTTACCGCTAGTTTACCGCTAGTTTACCGCTATTTCTCCTAATCAGTTAAGGTGCTATGATACCCCCAAAAATCTGCCATTTTGAAGTAAATTGACAAAATTAATTTCCAGATGATTTTGCATAAAAATTGCATGACATTTTACGGGAATAATGATTGATAGTGCAGTAGTGCAGTGAACCTCAAAAATTAACCTTCACATTGTAACAATGCTCAGTAATATCAAGGCTTTTTATCAAAGGACGCTGGCTAAAATTATAACCTTTTTGTTTGTTTACTTGTTTATTTTTTTGTTTATGTAAACCATATAATAATTTTAGGTTCATTGCATACATTGAGATATTAGCAATGAATATTCTTAGTTAGGATTGTATTCCAATTAAGGTTTCAGAGCTAGAACTGTTACAGTAAGTGCCTTACACTCATGTATTTTGGGTGTGGTTTGGTTACCACAGCAACAACGAGCGCTAAAATTGGTATCAAATGATTTTTCTCAATAAGGATAATGATATATGAAGTAATAAAAGGCTAAGTCTTTTCCTTGAAATTATTGTTACCTTGYGTATCATACCGCCTTAAAGGATGTTAACTTACAGCTTTTGTATGTGTCCTTCCTGGAAGACAAGATGCCTTTTTCTTCACTGAGACGCTAGATGACAACACAAATGGTTCACTTTAGATATTACGATTAACTAGTCATGCACAAAAGACTTCAAGACGAGCCTTCTGGGAAACAACAGAAAACCGTGTTTGCGTGTTTTAGGGGTAGCCCTTTACGTTTTTGCAAGATCTTATCTGATTGGTTTACTAGCTTTTTGTTAAATAAAAGAAAACAATAGGATTTAAAAACGAGGGAATAATGAACATTGTTTTACTACTACAATCAGAAGAAACCTTATAAACTTGCGAAGGATAACAGCATTTGAGGCCCGATATCCCAGCCATT